AAAAAAAAAAAATCCACAACCCACCCTTCCAATTGAGGAGGAAAAAAAAAAAGAGGAAAATCTCCTAACTTAATGACTGTGGGGGTAGGATGGATGCGACCGATTTCAGCCCCCCCTCCCCACTTCCCCCCCTTCCCCGGCAAGGGAAAAAAAGAAAAAAAAAAAGCCAACCGCAAACAACTACAGGCTGAACTATCAACACATGCACCGAAGGGGAAAAAATATATAGTGTCCTGTGCAGGGTCGGCAGGGAACGCAAGCACACGCTAAAGCAAGTTGGGAAGGAATCCGAGCTAATCAGCAATCTCTTTCTCTCTCTCTTTCTCTCTCTTTCTCTCCCTCTCTCTCCCTCTCCCTCTCTTTCACTGCCCCTGAGATCCCAGCTAGAAAGAGGTACTCCACATTTTTTCATTACCAAAAATCCGTTGCAATAATCATTTGTTGCTAATTGAAACCCTTAGAGACATTTTCCCCACCCCCTCACAAACATGGCAACTTTTAGGCATGGCAAGCACGTTTATTTTATTTTATTAAAAAACACGGCTAGGAGGAGGCTCAATCTTTTGCCCACAAGAAATATCAGCTCTTCAGTCCCCTTCCCCAGGGGGGTAACGGGACCCCAGTACAGTGAGGGCTTGGGAAAATTTGGAATACATTATACTGCCTTTGGCAGGAGAATACTCTCTAACTAATGGATTCCTGCTTCTTTTTGTGGTGTGTGTGTGTGTGTGGGTGTGTGTGTGTGTCAGTGTGGGGGGTTTCGGGGAAGAGGGGTGGTGGTCGTGGTGGTGGGGAGCCGAGCTTTTCTTGTAAGGGACTGTTATGGTGAGGAGTGTGTCATACTTGACAAATGGAACACACGCTCCTTCAATTCCTTCAAAGCAGGAATTAAGTTAACCACAGTGCTGCATGTTAATTGCATGTTTACTGGGCTAATGAAAATTACAATGGGGCTTCGCCACCTCGAACCGGGCTGCAAAAGTAGCGAGGCAATTGTCATCCCGGCCTTCGGGGAGGGCCGGCCCGGGCCGGGGGCCGGGGGCTGCCCACCAGCGGTATTGATCAGGAGAAGGATAAATCTTTTAACTGCTCGTTAATACCATAAATATGGTCTACACAAGTTTCCACTCTTGTTAAGACTAATCAGTACATGGAAGATGGAGACATCGCCCAGCTGAATGAATTTTTATTGTTGCCAGAGGGATACTTGCATCTGTGGGCTCCCCCTCTCCTCGCTGAGTGCCCCCTCCCCAAATAGCCCCTAACGGGGGATCGTGAAGGTGTGCAAAAGGCACAGGAGACAAATTGGAGCTTTTCTTCCCTTTTCCAAATGCTCCTTTTCTGTAATGCTGAACGGGTCGTGGTGGTGGTGGGGAAAGCCTAAAGGGGAGAGATGTCCCCCTTTCCCCCTCCTTTATTCTTGAGATCGGTGGATGAAAGGATGACCTAGTAATTCAGTTTGATGATAACCATTTTCATGCTTGAAAACAAACTGCCAAATTAAACATAAATGGAAAGCGCAAGGGGAAAGGTAGCAGGAGCAGGGCTTTTCGAGATTCCCCCCAGCTCTCCAAAAGGTATTATCTGGAAAGAGGAGGAGGGAAATGCAATTTAAATATGATTTAAATCCAAACCAAAAACAATTCCAGGGAGAAGTTAACCCCCCCGGTGTTGCACAGCCCTGCATTTGAAAACTTTGGCCCAACTTGTGGCGATAGCTACAACTTTGCTCTGCAGAGGTCAGAGGTGAGGGCTATTTTAACCCTAAAAGCCTGCGAGTGGCCAGGGCTGAGGCTGGGCTCGCAGCCCTAATAGCCGTAATTACCTCCTCCCATTCCAGGGACATTCCTCGCAGCAGAAATTTTAGACGCCGAATTTAAGAAAATCCTGGCGTTGATCATATCTTGGGGGGAAATAGCAGCAATATGAAGGAATTTCAGAGCTCACCCCTTTGCTGAGGGGGATTGAAGCCCTTCTTTTTTTCCTCCCTTTTTTCCCCCTTGCCAGCATTCCCAAGGCGCTGGGTCTTTGTCTTAGAAGGAATGGAGTGTCTGAATGGTGTGAAAGGGACAGAGAGGGTCGCTTCAAATCGATTTTACTTGTCCTCTCTGTCTTTTCGGATCAACGCCCTTCAATGGACACATAGGTGCTCTTTCAACCAAAAACTTGTGCAACATTTTCTGCCTGTATTGGTGCTAAATACAATAAATGCTGGGCAGATTTTTTTTCTTTCTTTCCAAAGCAGAAAGCACCCTAATTAAATTGTTTTATATGGACAGTCAAGACAGACCAATTAAGTATGCATTAGTATAAAGATATATTCGAGAGATAAGCGCTCTATAGGAGCCCTGCCTAGGCAAGGTGTGTAAAGTGTCCTCTGGAAGAGAGGTTGAAGCAGGTTTTCATATGGATTTTTCCCCTCCATTGCCTCCTATACTCGAGTAACGGACTGAATAAGTTAGCGAAAAGCCATTAGTGAGAGTGGTTTCTAAACAAAGTTAACAGGTGGATGTAGCTGGCTTTAGATTTGAATAACAGTCGCACATCTATAACACACAGCCACATAGTTGCGTACCATGTATGCACGCAACGCACATTTGCAGCAACAAATGCCTTCGCCCTACAGCTTGCGTGCAAAAGCGCACACGGGGAAATGAAATAAAGAGCTGGGCACTTCGGCAGGCTGCAGCGCACGGCGTGTGCCAGCGCA